TAAAACTTAACAATCTAGTGACTATATGACTAAATACTTATTTATAAATGTCTTTTAACAAACACGAAAGTATTATCAAACAACGGAATAAAATGAGAAGATACAAGTTTATAAACTTGATAAACAAGAATTGTTTATCAAGGGGTGTATATGTCAATTACATATAACTTTGGTTGTTGTTTTCTCTCTCCTCTTGCAACCTTTTGGTAGTATTTTTCTAATTTTCTCTCTCCTCCTTCAACCTTCAATTTCAATGATGGAAAGAATCTTCTCCCTATATGACACCGAACAAGTTGAAATCAATGGAGGGAGAAAAAATACCTACCCTTTGGGGTTATCCATGCCCATTATTTTCACTTTGTTAATTGGGTTTTCGTTTAATTTCGGTGGCTTCAATAGTGGTGCGAAGCCAAATTTAATGAAGTTGGCGACCCTTTAGGGTTAACCATGCCATTATTTTCTCCTTTTGTTATTAGGGATTTTGTTTAATTTCATTAGCGAAAATGGAGTTGAACGGACTTAAAAAAAAAGGTGAAAGTGGGCAGAAGTTGGAAGGAGAAGATTAAGGTGGGTGGGAAGAAAAAATAAGAACAAGAGGAAGAAGATAAACATGAAGAAGAGGATGAACATGAAGAAGACGTAGATGGGAGGAAGAATATATATATATATATATATATATATATATATATATATGTATATATGTATGTGTATATGTATATGTATATATACATATACATATACAATTTTCAATGCAACTTATTTACAAAAATGCCATTTGGGCTTGCTCGAATAAATTCTATAGTAAAACTATTAGCACAACATACATGTAAATACATAAATAACAAATAATATATCACCTTTATGTCCAATAAAATAATTTCAATGGAAATAAATAGTACTCGGATCATCAAAGGCAATTAAAATCAGCAATTAGGTAGCACTTGTTTGATTCAGAAGAAGATGTCTCTTGTTACTATGTTCGATGTGTCTTTTACTATGCATTTTATTTATAATGTTGAATCTAATAAATTTATCATCTCGATCACACATTTCAACACAAGACATTTTTTTAGTGTATTTACTAAGATATAAATTTATTTAATTACGTGATAACAAAAAATGGACTGATATTCACATCTTCCCACAATTAGACATATGATATAGTTGTCGAACACAACATTATATAGTCATATGTAATACTCTATTAGTCTAAGAAACAAAATATTAGAGGTATTTGAAAAAAAAAAATAATAAAGTGATTTTTTAAGTAATTTCTTCAATATCAATTATATAAATCAATTTTATTATTACTTTTAGGGAAAAATTTCAATAGGCGGTAATGATAGTATCTTGTTCCTTAACTAGTGGCTCACTTATACTATAAATTTATAATTATAATTAAAAATGAGTTGTATTAATATTTTAGGCAAATGTTTACGGAAGAATGAAGAACACGAAATAAAAGGAAATACATTTTATGTAAGGAAATTTTGCATTAAACCACCTTTTATAAACATTTTTTTTTGCAAGAAAGCACCTTAGAAAAAAAAAATTCGCAAAAACACTCCTTAATCTTAAATTTTTTTGCAACCCCACACCTTTTCCCGGATTATACCCATTGACCTTGTTTTCAGGGGTTGACCCGACCACGTGCGGAGCATATATCCCCCTAAAACCACTATTCCTCCCTTTCTCTCTCTTTCTCTCTCTCTCTCTCTCTCTCTCTCTCTCTCTCTCTCTCTCTCTCTCTCTCTCTTCTAATTTTACCCAATTTTCCCCTTTAACACCAATTACCCTCTCTTTCTCTCTCCTTCTTCACTATTCTTTCCCCCTTCCCATTAAAAGCACCCTTTAACTTCTCGTCATTAAGGCTCTGCTGCTCCGCCATGGCTGCAACAAATTGAATGCTTCCAAATTGAGTTAAATTGCTGGCCCTAGGTGAAAGTAAGTTTTCAATTTCTCTCTCCTTTTTTTTAATTGCATTATGCTATTTGTACTCTGTGTTAATTGTTGGTCCTTGTTTTCTTCCATGGGTAAAAAAAAGGACATCTTCTGCATCGTCATGATCAAGAAAGCGTGGTGGGGGACCAAATACTACATTATTCAAAAACCAAGGTACAATTTTTGATTTTTATAAGGATTTTTTAGAAAATAACACCACAAATTTTCACAAATTTTGCTTATAACACCACATTATCTCAAATTTTAACTATAACACCACCAAAAAACCAAAAAAATTTGATTTCATCACCTATTAACAGATTTTTGGATGGAATCCGTTAGTGGACCCATCAAGTACACGTGGCACTCATTGACTAGTTTTTTTTTTTTAAAAAAAAAACCTCAACACTAATTCAGCCAGCCCACCGCCGCACTACCTATCGCCGGCAACACAACTCCAGCCGAAAACCACCTTTTCCTCTACCTTGATCGGCGAAACCGAGCGTTTTCCACCCCGACACCGGAAAAACCGAGCGACCAGCCACCGACCGTGAGCGCGTTCACCCCTTCTCCCTCCTCGAAAACCCCTTAACCGTGAGCTCGCAGCCGGCGTAACCAGAGAAGGAACAAGAGCAGGGCACATTATGGTGTTCGCGATTGAGAATTAGAGAGGCTAAATCACGATATTCACCGGCGAAGAGCGAGATTCTAACTTTGTAATCTCCTCTTTGAAGCTCATAATCATATAAATGGGGGTCGATTTGACCGTTTCAAAGGTGGGGAAATGGGGGTGGTTTTACGCGCGGTGGTGGCCGGGTAGGTGGGGCAGGTACGCAGTTGGGCTAGGGTGATGTGTAGGCGCGGCGGCTGAGGTTGGGATGCCGGAAGTGGTAGTGGTAGTGGTGGGGTCAAGGCTGTCGGTGGTAGGCTGGTGGCTGGGTTAGATTTTAGGGCTTTTTCTTTTTTTTTTTTTTTTTAAATTCTTTTTATTTTTTAAAAACCAATATTGTATTGACATGTGTCCATCACGGGTCCCACTAACGGATTCCATCCAAAAATCTGTTAATTGGCGGTGAAATCAAATTTTTTAGTCTTTTGTGGTGTTATAATACAAATTTGAGATAATGTGGTGTTATAAGCAAAATTTGTGAAAATTTGTGGTGTTATTTTCTAAAAAAATGCTTTTTATAATGATAGGGTTGAAAATAGTTTAATTTGAAATTGTTTATGGTAAAGTGAGATTAAATGTTGGAATTGGCATGACATGCATGCACTTGAATATTAGTTGAATAATTTCTTTATTAATTAGTTGTGGGTTGATGTGATTAATGTTAGTTGTGGGTTGTATAATTTCTTTATTAGTTGAATTTCCTTGGAAGCAGTGATTTTTATGTGTTTTATGTGAAAGTTTTTAAAGTTTTTATTCATTTGTTTGTTGTTTGTTTGGGACATTTAAATTGGTATTTGTGACTGTTTTTGTATCAAGTTTAATGGTAGGATAAATATTTTTTAGCCTTGGTATAAATTTATGGATCCAATTAATATTAGGCTTATGTATGGTGGTGAATTTGTAACTAAAAGGGGAAAAACAACATATGAGAAGGGGAACAACAGTTACTATGGACTGAGATTACATCCTAATGTGTTTGAAGTTTGGTATTTTGAATTTGTGCATTGGATAAAAAGTGAGTTAGGTTATGATGAGGTTGGGGAGATTTGGTATAGGAAGAAAGGGTGTACTTTGTACTCTGACAAAAAACAAATCTTAAGTGATATTGATGTACCAGATTTATTAGAAGCAAAAGAAGCAGATGGTTGGCACATTTTGTAGTTATACCATCCTCCCAAAGACTTTGTTGTTGAACGGGCAAGACTTTGGTATGGACTAGGGGTGGGTTTTTACACAAATTCAGACGTGTCAAGTGGTGGGACCTTTACTAAAGATTATCCATCAGATAGGAGTGAGTCAGAAGTTTTCTAAGGTGAGTCAGCTGGAGGTGGGGTTGGTTTGGTTGAGTCGGCAGAAAGAGGGAGTGAGTTAGGTGAGGCATATTCAAAAAGTGTGGGGGCCCAGCATGCAAAGATTCCCTTCCAAACCCTAGATTTGAGAATAACTCTTTAGTATTTCCTCATACCAGTCTCATTCCCAAAAGAAATTTAACTCCCCCACCTAGAAGAGAAAAACTCCCATTTGTGTAAAAAAAAAGGTAAGCTTCCTGTTTCTTGTGTGAGTGAAAAACTAGTGAGGGAATTCGCCATCATACTTGAAACTAATGAGCAGGAGAGTAGTGAGAGTAGTGATGGGGAAGACATTGATGCCATTTTGAGTGAAGATGACTGTGAAGACATAGATGATGATGACTTGTTTGCTAAAATTTTTTATGCTGGTATCACTAAGAGAGTGTTTGAAAGTTTAGGGTCTAGAGAGATAGCAGTTCAGTTGAATGCAGATGAATTTGAAGAGGATGAGGAGGACAAAAATGAGGTGCAACATGATGATGAGCTTAATGACAGTGATAGTGAGGTTGTCAGAATAGTTGGATCTGATGATGAGGGAGTAGACTACCCCATATTCAACCCAGAAGTAGACTATAAGCAGAAAATATACCTCAAATTTGGCCTTAATTTTCCATCAAACACATGCTTCAGAAAAGCTTTGAGGAACCATGCCATTAAGAATGGCTATGATTACTATTTTTTGCATAATACAAAGCTGAGAGTGTCTGCCTACTGTGCAAAGAGGTATGCATGCCCATGGCAGAAAAATAGGAAGTTGCACAAGTGTGTGTGTGGGGTGCAGAGGAAGAATAGATTTAGGGTACATTGCAAGAAAGTGAAAGGAGATGACAGAGATTAAAAGCTTCAAGGGTGAACACATCTGTGGACATCAACAAGTGAATCCAAAGGTCAACTCCCAATATCTTGCTGAAAGATACCTTGATGCCTGAAGAGATGATCCAACCATGAAGATGAAAGCATTCATCGAAAGAGTAACCAGAGAAGTATAAGCTGAGATAAGATATCATAAGGCTTGAAGAGCTAAATAACTTGCACTGAGAATGTTGTTTGGTGATGCTGCAGAAGAGTATGAGAGATTATGGGATTATGCAGTTGCTATTTGCAAATATAACCCTGGTAGTACAACAATTGTCAAGGTTGTAGGCATAGAAAATCCTCCACCCATGTTCCAAAGGATGTATGCTTGCAGCCTTGTAAGGAGGGGTTTATTGCTGGATGCAGGCCTATTTTGGGTGTTGATGGGGAAAGTTTGAAGTGGCCTTATCCTGGTATTTTGCTGACAGCAGTGGGAAAAGATGGGAATGACATCTTCCCAGTTGCTTGGGCTGTAGTAGAGGCTGAAAATGCTGAGACTTGGAAGTGGTTTTTTAAACTGCTGGTAAAAGACATAGAATCTGTTGATCAGTCAATCAAATTGGTGCATGAAAATTAAGCTTTTACCTACATGTCTGATAGACAGATGGTTAGATTTAATACCTCAACTTGTCATGCCCACTTATTTACTGTATTTTTCTTATCCATAAAGTTGTTACATGTTTTTGTTTGTAGGGATTGTTGGATGCATAATGTTGATATTAGTTTTTGTTGTAGACACGTATGGTCTAACTTCAAAACCAAATTCCCTGGTGAGATCTATAAGGAACACTTTTGGAAGGCTGCAAGGTCATAGTAGGTTAGGTTAGTTTGGTTTGATTATCTCATGTAAGTAATTGTATCCAATGTTATGTCATAGTACTATTTTTAGCAACATATGAAATTTATTAAGAAGATAAACACAGAGGAATTCACATACTTTCACTCCATTCCACCATGTAACTGGTCAAGGCATGCATTCACCACTAGAAGCAAATCTGGTATGTTTCTAAAGAACTGTTGTGAGAGTTTTAACAATGTCTTGAGGGAGGCAAGAACTAAACCAATAATATCCCTTATGAAGTGGATAAGGAGGTATGTAATGAGGATATGTTGTATGAAAAGGGATGGATTAAAAAAGTTACAAGGCTTGATTATGCCTTCAGTTGTAAAGATGATTCAGAAAGGTTTGTTAAAGGTGTAAAGTTTGAAAGTGATCGAATCAGGTAGATTTACATGAGTTTGAAGTAGATAATGAAGATGACACCTATGTTGTTAATTCACAGACCAAGGAGTGTGGTTGCTTTAGGTGGAGTTTGTTAGGAATTCCTTGTTGGCATGCATTGGCATGTATTGTGAAGAGGAGGCTTCTATATGAGGAATTTGTCCACCCTACATATCATGTGAGTACTTATATTGCTGCTTATGCACCCATATTCAAAGTAATGCCTGGTTTTAGGCAGTGGGAAGTGCAGCCATTAGCCAAGCCTTTACCCCCTCATTACAGAGAAATGCCTAGAAGGCCTAGCAAAAAGAAGAGGGTGAAAGAACCAGGGAAAGATAAAGAGAGAGAGTTGGTGAAAAGGGAAAAGAAGAACAACAAGTGCTCTAATTGTGATGGTCTTCGGCACTACAAAACAAAGTGCCAAAATGTCACTCAGCCTCAAGTTTTAAGTAAGGGTGGAAGACCTTTCGGCTGCTCAGATAGGAGCAGGACCCTACCAGCAGGCTATGTCACAGGGTGGGGGAGCTGGAACTTAAGCTGGAGGTAGTCAGTTAATTTCAACAACAACAACAACAACAACACCTATAAGAACAACATCAACATCTACAACAACAACAAAAGCATCTGCAACAACATCAGCAACTAAGGGAAGAAAAGTAGGAGCAGCAAAGGTAACCTCCCCACTAATGACTAGAGGTTCAAAAGCAAAGGCAGCAACAACAATTACAACATCATCAGCACAACAACAGCAGCCAAAGAAATAAAAAAAAATACCTCTTCAATGGCTGCTTTGATATCAAGCTCTCAGAATGTGCAATCATCACAAGCTTCTTCCAACCATGCACCATTATCTCAAGGTAAGAGTTCATGATTAATATGTCAAGTAGTTAGGGGTCTTGTTTTTGTCAGTAAACTCAAGCAAGTTTTTCCAGTTTTGTAAACACTATAATTATCCCCTTTTTTTATCATGTCATCATCTTTTGTCATTGATAATTAACTAAGAAACGTATCAAGTTTTGCATAAACAAATGAAACAATGCATTACCAATGATAAATAAACTTGCTTTCATTCAAAAGACCATATCAAGGTCAAAACAATACAACAAAGTTAGCTAAATATGTGGCTTTAATTTCATTAAACCATACTAACCATGCCTAACCAAATCCTAACTAAAAAATTTAACAACAACTACATAACAACAACAAAAACAATAATACATACTCCAAGCTGATCTGTTTGCAATCCTTGTGGAGTTGGGGGTCATGTTGCTTCCATTGCTTCTTCTCCACCCTCTCTAATTGTTCATTCGACCTTTTCTTCTCATGGTTGCAGCAAGCCATCTTTGTCTGAAACAGACTACTCAAATCAGTGGTAACAGTCTCAGCTAACACTACGTGAAAAAATGAATTTGGCACCGGTTCAAACCCGGCCTAAGGCACCGGTTTGAACCGGTGCCAATGTGGGGGGTGCCAAAAAGGGGTTTTAAAAGGCACCGGTTAACCGGTGCCAAAAAGTACCAAAAAATTTTAATTCACAACTTTTGGCACCGGTTACCCGGTGCCAAAAGTGCCAAAAAAATTAATTTTTTTTTCTTTAAAATTAAATAAACTGAAATGAAATGAGAATACAAAATATAAATAAAAAATCACAACATATAAATCAAATCTGTTCAATATATATATAATAAAAAAAAATTACAGTATAGATCAATAAAAGAATTACAACTTATGAATAAAAAAAAAAAAATATATAAATCAAAATAAAAATTTACAACTTTACAATAAAAAAAAACCCATACAACATCTAAATCAATATACTTGCATCTTGATTCTTCAATTTAAGATCTAACTACCTGCACCAATTAAAACAACCAAAATAAATTGATTAAAATGAAAATATAAAAATAAAACCCAGAAGAAAAAAAATCGAATAAAATAAAAATCAAAATAGAAAATCATAAATAAAAAAAATACAGAAAATAAATAAAATTAAACTTGATTAAAAAAACCCCAGAAAATAAATATAAAAAAAAATCCATAAAATAAATTAAAAAAACCCAGTATTCGAGAAAAACCCAGAAAACAAAAAAATATACAAATGGAAAAAAAATTGAAACCTGAAAAAAATAAAAATAATCCAGTGATCGAAAAACAAAAATGAAATTGAAAATAAAATAAACTAAGAGATCCAAAATCAAAAATGAAAATCGATAAAAAAAAAAAAAAAAAAAACCCAATTAGAAGAAAATTGAAATGGGAAAAAAAAACCCAGGAAAAAAACCTAAAAATCACGAAATTAAAAACCCTAACACCACATGCATTAACCCAAAATAATCAATTATTTTAACAGAAAATTAACCCAAAAATCGAAATTGAAATCGAAAAAAAAAATCAAAATCTAAAAAAACACAACCAAAAAAGAAATCGAAAAAAAACCGAGAAATAGAAAAAAAAATCAAAAAAAGAAACCCAGAAATCGAAATTTAAAAAATCAAAATCGGAAAAAAAAAACTATTAAATTCGAATAATCAATCAAAATCGAAAAAAATTGAAAAAAAAAATTGAAATCGAAAAACCCATAAATCGATTGAAATGTTAAAAAATACCAAGAAATCGATTGAAAAACCTCAAAATTAGTGTTGCATGTTGTTGTCGTCGAATTGTTGGTGGTTTTCGAATTGTTGAGGAGGTAGATCGGCGAAAGATAAAGAATGAAGGAGGTAGATCGGCGAGAAAGAGGAGGAGGAGGAGGAGAGAGAAAGAGGAGAACGCCCGAGAAAATTAGGGTAAGGGGGGTTTTTATAAGGGCGGTTTTTTTTTATATTTAAATGGACCGGTTTGTAAAGGCACCGATTCAAACCGGTGCTCTTTTTATTTTTGGCATCGGTTTGGGCTGAACCGGTGCCTTTTCTATTTGTGTAAAATTGCACCTAATTTTGGGCCGATTTAGGGCACCGGTTTGGCTTGAACCGGTGCCTTTATGGGGGTGCCTTATTGTATTTTTCTACTAGTGTAACTGCATGTTAGTCACATCCCTTTGCCAATCAACAATGTCCTCGTCAATCCACTCAAAAAAATTACAATTCTTATACCATGTCTCATAATTGTAGAATTTGCATGCTTTAAACTTTCCACCAGGGTTCTCATGCGTCCATGAGGTCCTAAGACTGACAAGAATACCATAATAACACTTCTAGCCCTTGAAACCCATGTTGCAAACAATTCGACGGACAATTCCCAAATTAAAACCCTAATTTTCGAACAAAACCCTAATTTCTGCAATTTTAAGCAAATACAAGCAATTAAGTGTCAATTACCTGACCCAATTGAAGTTCCTTGGAGATTTCGTTGGGAAATTTGGCCAACAATGTCATCAATTTCGAGCAAGATTGAAGAACAGGAACATAGTGAAGAGAGGAGAGAGAAACATATAGAAAAAGAGAGAAATCAGAGGGAAATAAAGAGGGAAAAAGGAGGAATAGTGGTTTTTAGGGGGACACGTGCTCTACACGTGGTCGGGTCAACCCCTGAAAACAAGGTCAAAGGGTATTTTCTGAGAAAAGGTGTGGGGTTGCCAAAAAATTTAAGATTAAGGTGTGTTTTTGCGAAAAAAATTTATAAGGAGATTTCTTGAAAAAAAATGGTAATAAAAGGTGTTTTAATGAAAAATTTCCTTTATGTAAAAATAATATATAAGATTTTGAATATTATTATAATTATATTATACAAAATTTCCAAAAATAAAAGATTTATTGCTAAAAGGGGAAGGGGAGTTTTGATGTGAAAAAACAGCATCAGCAAATGACATGTGTCATTTGTGGTGTTTGTTTTAGTATTAAAAGTCATGTTAATGATTTATTTAAAATACAAACTTTACAAAAAGTCCGGTTTACAATAAATTATTGAATGGCCAGAGACTTACTAGTTGTACTTCTTTTTCCTTCCTCTTTCAAGATCCATCTTCCTCTTCAAGTATATAGCAACCAACAGAAAAACTGATACTTGACGACATCGACCATCTTCCTCAAAATCACTCCTTTGCACTACTTTGAAATCTTCTCTTTCTCAAATTTTAATGAAAATTTCATAATTCTTTCCATTTTCTCTCTCATCCCAATCGATTCCCAATATACATCAATCTATATAACTTAAAATCAATTCAATTGTTTTTCCCTTTAATTCTATATCAATTGTGAGAAATGATAGATACTACAATAACTAGGTTTTGTTTCTTCACTACTTTTCTGGGTTGATTTGGGGTTACGACCTACGAGATGAATTGATAAAGTTCACTATATCAATGACAATGTTAGAACTCTTGATAATTTTTTTATTATTATTATTTTTTTTTTGTTATGTGATGTCGATCTTTATTAGTTTGATTTGTTTGAGTGATTGTACTTTTTTCATGACTATTGTTAATTTTGTGTTTATTTTCGTTGATTTTGATACTCTATTTTGCATATGTAGCTTAATTACTTTTGTGAAAAAAGGTCACTTTTGTGGAAAAAAAAATCACTTTTGTGAAAAAAAAAGGTGGTACTTTTGTTAAAAAAAAAAGGGTCACTCCCGTGAAAAAAAGGGTCATTCTTGTTACAAAAAAGATCACTTTTGTACAAAAAAGGTTCACTTTTGTAAGAAAAAAGGGTCACTTTTCGTAAAAATGTTCGATGTACAATAAAATTATTGTAAACCGGGGGCATGCAAAAGTTTTTGTTTTTAAAATGCATCACTTTTTATATACAGTATAAAATTTTTAATTCAGATACTTTACCTTTATTTTTAGTTAATAAATTCACTCTTTCTCTCATCAAAAAATTATCATAAATTCGAAATTCCTACCTTGATACACTTTTTTTTTTTTAACAAAAAGCCCAAGGCAGTGTTTCTCATATTGATTAAAATTATTTTATATGATAGGGAAATTATCAATGGTACACCCAATGTTTGAGCTTTTATCAATGGTACACCTACTTAACTTTTGTTTATCAGCGGTACATCCAAGATTTCAAACACTCATCTACAGTAACCCTAACGTTAATAAAACGTTAATTAAACGTTAATTTTGGCTTTTTCGGTTTTTTTAACTTGAAAAACTCCGTTCTTTTTTTCCCTCTTCACTTTCCCTCTTTTATTTAAACTAACCCACCCACCCCTTCTAATTGTATATACTGTTTCCCTTCCTCATTTTTTTCCCTCTTCACTTTTTTCCTTCTTCACTCGAATTTCCCTCTTAACTTCTTTTTTTTTTTTTGTTATTTTTTTTTCTTGAATCTTAATGGCTTCTTCTGGCAAGGGGTCTTCTAGCAACATGAATGATAGGGGTTTGTGGTTCAAATAAGTTAATCAGTTAATTGCAATTGTAACCATATTTCAACCATTTAGACAAAAGTTCATATACTACCAAAAACCAAACAATTTTAAGCGAAATTCAAAAATTTAAAGGCTCATATCAACACTTACCTTTAACAGTCAACAATGAAGTGCAGAGTTCCCAGGAATTTTGTTCCAAACGAGAGTCAATTTAGGCACCTCACATAAGCATAAACAGAGGAGAGACTGAGAAGGAAGAAGAAGACGAACGATCTTCTGAATTAGGGTGTTTTTAATTTAGGTAGTTGGAGTTTGGAGGGATAGATTTAATGTAGGTGGGGTAGGGGGTAATTTAGTAATTTAATTCTATTTTGATAAAACTAACCTAAAACTAACGTTTGATTCACGTTAGGGTTACTGTAGATGAGTGTGGGTAACATTGGATGTACCAATGATAAACTAAAGTTAAGTAGGTGTACCATTGATAAATGCCCGAACTTTGGGTGTACCATTAATAATTTCCCTATATGATATGTATTTATGGTTATCATTCAGCTCGGCTAATTGCCCATATACCTTCTATATGCCAACAAAAATAATGACAAATGGTAAGACCTTCAATGACCCCATTGCTCAACCAATTTTCAAAGTATCCAACCGTTGGAAATTGGAACTCCCAGATCAGAGAAGCTGTCAACAATGGCTACTCTCACAAAGCCCTTTTACTCTTTCGCCAATTGAAACAAACTGATTCATCCCCAGATAATCTGACCTTTCCCTTTGTTGCTAAAGCTTGTGCAAAGATTTCAGACCTTAAACTATCTCAATCAATTCATGCCCATGTTTTCAAATCACCCTTTTGGTCGGATATTTTTGTTGGTACTGCAGTTATCAATATGTATGTTAAATGTAACGAATTGGATTTTGCACACAAGGTGTTCGAGAAAATGCCTAAAAGAGATGTGACTTTGTGGAATGCAATGCTTCTGGGTTTTGCTCAGTTGGGTTCTGTGGATAGATTTTTAGTACTTTTTAGGGAAATGAGACTGCTGGGGTTTGTCCCTGATTTTATCACTATCATAGGATTGACACAATCTGTTGTTGAGTTGAAGGATGTTAATCTGGTTAAAGGTGTTCATGCATTCGGAATTCGTGTTGGGATGTTGAATGATGTTTCTTTGGTTAATACTTTGATTTCTTGTTATAGTAAATGTGGGGACTTGGTTTCTGCTGAGGGCATGTTTGATGGAATATACTCTGAATCGAGGACAATTGTTTCGTGGAATTCTCTGATTGCTGGACATGCTTTAGTCGGGAATTATTATAATACATTACATTTATACCGGTGCATGTCTAATGATGGACATAAACCTGATATAAGCACATTTCTAAGTCTTTTATCTTCGTGTGTGCTGCCTGATGGTTTATCTCACGGCAAGCTAATTCATTCCCACGTGATTCAGTTTGGTTGCGAGTATGATGTTGCTGTGGCCAACACATTACTAACAATGTACTCGAAGTGTGGAGATATTGATTCAGCATGGCACTTGTTTCAGTTTATGACATATAAAACATGTATCTCCTGGACCGCAATGATAAGTTGTTATGCAGTGACAGGATGTTTAGACAAGGCATATTCCTTGTTTTTGGATATGGAAAGGGCAGGTGAAAAACCTGATGTTGTCACTCTTCTATCTTTGCTGTCAAGCTGCGGTCAAACAGGTTCGCTTGAACTTGGCAAATGGCTTGATGATTATGCCTGTTCTAACGGGCTTAGAGGTAATGTTATGGTGTGTAACTCAGTTGTTGACATGTATGCTAAATGTGGACATGTCGATAAAGCTAAAGAAGTATTTTACTCAATTCCTTCAAAAACAGTTGTCTCTTGGACCACAATGATCTCTGGGCTTGCATTAAATGGAGAATTTATAGAGGCTTTGGAGCTTTTCTACAAAATGGTTGAGCTAGGTTTGAAACCAAACCACATAACATTTCTTGCCATTCTACAAGCCTGCATTCACGCAGGTTTCCTGGATAAAGGAATGGAGTATTTTGATCTGATGACCAGAGTATATAATTTAAATCCTGGGTTGGAGCATTACTCCTGCATGATTGACCTTCTTGGGCGCAAGGGAAAGTTCAAAGAAGCATTAGAGTTCATCAAAAGCATGCCCTATGACCCTGACGCTGCCATATGGGGTGCATTGATCAATGGCTGTAAAATACACAAAAATGTTGAGATTGGTGAGCATGTTGCTTATCATCTATGTCGACTGGAGCCTCAAGCTGCTGTTTCCTATGTGGAAATGGCAAATATGTATGCTTCAGCAGGAAAATGGGATGGTGTATCTAAAGTTAGAGAACTAATGAAATGCAACAAAGTGAAGAAATTTCCTGGGCAAAGCCTTATCCAAGTTGGTGGAAAGAATCACATATTTGGTGTGGAAGAAAGATGTCATCCAGAAGGTTCACTAATATATGAAGTCCTAGACGTATTGGCCTTCCAGATGAAAAAACATGAAACTTCTTACCTTTATGAAGACCTTCCTGAACATGAAATATATCTGCAAGATTTTTTGGTAGCTTGATTGTTCGATAAGTATCAGTGCTCTGATGGTACAAGTTTAAGTGCCTGAAGAAACAATTGATTGAAAGTTTTTTGGGAAAGCCGTGGCATGGTGTAACCAGTGCTTTCACAGTTGGAAGCTTGTCTATAGCTATGCTTTCATTGAGCATCTCACACTTTGTTGTGTGTTTTAATTTGGAGCTTTAGCCACTTAGCTACCATGTCGGAGATTTGCTGTTACTATACTCTTCTGCTTCTCTGTAAATGCAGGATGTCTGAAAATATATGTACAAACCAAACAGAAAATTGAATTTTGGTAGTACATAAATTGCTTCCGTTTTTATTGAAGCAAGTCTTTTCGATGATCCTTCTTAGTAAGAAGTGGCCACTTCTTTGAGGGTGATGCAATCTTCAGTTCTGTGTCCAAGGTCATGGTGGAAGTCGCATCACCTAGACTAATCCTTTCCTTTTGTTAGCGTACTTTTGTGCAACCACTAGACTAACTATTGCTTCAAGATTGTGATTGAAGGGCATTGATGATTTCATCAATATCAATGTTACCCATATTATTGAATGTACGGGGTGATAATCAGCACCTTCTCCAAATTCTTTCACATTATGAACATTTTGTAACTGATTTGGATGGTTATGTGTGTTAGGCTACCTACAAGTATGTTGCGGAGTGTAACTGTATAAGACATCACGGCATTGTATTTGTGATCACATCACAGCATCACGGCCTTATTAAGTTAGTGATAGGCACCTACCATATCTCTGCTTCTAGTGGTTGTCGCGCTCATATGGGTAGTATTTTCATCATATAGACTTGGTGGTTGGTGCTACTAGTATATTGAATTTTCATGGCACCCAAGTGATGTCCATAATCTTTTTAGGCTTTAGTCTTTACTGGAATTGGTGCTATGGGGCGTTTCTTCAACATATTCAATACGTAGGCATTCTAAACCTTCAACATGGACAACTTTGGAGCAACAATATTTGACTCGACCACTTCAGTGTTCTTTTGTGGCTCAAAATCGTCTTCTGCTTTGTCTTCAAGTCGTAGTGTCATGGACGTTGTAAATTTCGTGGTCTATGTCTCCTTGCCTGCATTTCTAGACTAGCCATGTAGAAGCTTCCTATCTGGTTGCGCCTTGGACTCGAGCACTCTTCGCTGAAATTAACTCCTTTTAAAGGCTTTTAATGAAAATCCGCAGCAAGCATCAACTTGGCATTGGTTTTCCTTATAGGATGCCCAACTCCTGCTAAGCCTTCTAATAGGACACGTTTTGAACTACTCAATGGTCATGTCATCAGAATTGGATGTAACCATGGATACTGAAAAAGGTCGATTAACACCATTTTGGGTACCAAATTGTCATGCCAAATGTGTCTTGACATCACTTGGACAAGACGACGTTAAAAAGATGATGATGAGAGTTTAGAACGCAAGCATGTAAATGCGAGAGTAGAGATGAAGAAATGGTGACAAAAAAACATATAAGGGAGGATGACAAAAATAGTTGCGAGTTAAACGATGCTTGCTTTATCCTATAACTTGAAAAATAGTTACGACTTAAACGATGTGTGCTTTATCCTATTTTTCAAGTTATAGGATAAAGCAAGCAGGAGTTGTATTGCAGTTAGTGCTGTAGATCTGCAACAATATTCAACAATGTTTACCGCCATCAAACCACAAACGATATCAGCTGGGTCACGACATAGTATTTAAAGTTTGACCATAACGCTTGGTTCTCCAATTCAATGCATCAGGGTTAGACATCCTCTTCTCACAAGCTAGATCATCTCCCTCGATTCCAGTTTATTAGAATATGCAAAGATAGCCTCAACTGAGCAAGAGTAGAATAATAGCACACTTTGGAGCCACATATCAGCCTCCCAATGATTTGAATCCAACTTGTGCAAATCAGATCAGCACCTAAAACTGATTCTGTTTCATGCATTTCAGATTTCAGACATAATGACTATGTGCTTGTTAGTTGTGATGAGTCTGATGAGTAAAGTTAGCAATTAAATCAATCAAAAATGCAAATTTAACATTTTCTAGATCTACAGCACTAACTGCAATACAACTCCTGCTTGCTTTATCCTATAACTTGAAAAATAGGTGCTTCTAGATAATTACGCATCACAAAAAGAACGTTTTCAAATACAATAGACTTAATTGAGGAGCCTCTGACCAATTGACTGTCTGCTACCTATAACCACAGTATAAATCAGCTGCAAGCATGGGACATTTTTCATTTTGCATTGTAAAATAACAAAGGACACTGCACACTACATGCCACAATCACAAATAATTACTCCATACATTACAAGCGTTCATTCTTCGCAGTATATTCAGTGATAAAGGCACTGCATACTTCAGTAGATGATTGATGAATATTACAACTGGGTCGTTTACTCTATTCGCAAAGCAAATCTAACCAAGCAAGGGAATAAAAACTTCAAGTAAGCATCCAGCCATATATCAACAAATGCAATCAATGTATAGATGATGGGATTCTCAAGGTAAGAGTTGAACTCGAGAAAATGAAGAGAAGGCAATGGTACAATTACCTTTAGCCATCTAAAAATAGACCACACCTTAAGCCATCTAAAACAGATCTCTTCTTCTAAACATGAGGAAAGCAATTGCTACAGCTATTGTGTGAATATCAATGACCATAAAGTCCAAGCATATTCTTTTCTCTATCTTCCACCCTCTTCCGAGCTGCCTCCCTTGCTCTAAGTGCAGCTACTTCTTCAGCAGATACGGCCTTTGGCTTTTCAGGTCGCTTCCTCTTTCCAACAGCAAGTGATGACTGAGCACCTTTTACTGATCTTGTAGGATTTATAGACCCTGAAACAACAGGCCGGGGTGCACCCTCTTTCTTTTCAACAGGTTGACCTGATGTAGAAGCAGCCAAAGGCTTTTTCAAGGGCACCTTTTGTTTAGTACCAGCAGATTTCTTAGCAGCTGCAAATGCCTCTTCTTGTGTAACCCAATTACCTGGTTATTACAAATTACAAAAGAAAAAGATAACAATTAGATCAAAGGTATTAAGAGCTGTGGCAAAAGGAAATGAAAATGCAATAAAACTCAAAACCAACAATTCGTTCAACTCTTTACCTAGGTCATCACTGTAGTAGAAACCAGACTTTGGATCATACTGAATGCCAGTATGTTGATCATAATAGTACCCTGTAGCGCTGTTGTATTCCCAAGCTGCCACCAAATCAAAGAATATTATTGAAAGAGGAACAGGATATATTTAAGCAATGCATCAGATATGGTAACAATGACAGAACCTTCCAGAGCAAGCATATATAAAAAATATTTAATGCTGTATAAAGGACAAAGTAACAAAAATTAGAAGGTTAGGGAAATTAAAGTTGATGTGTTGTGAATCACTTTTTTTTTTTTTTTTTGTGGTTCAAAGAAAAAAGAAAGTCTTGGTGGTATTTGTTAAGCATTATTAGCCCTGCAACCTAGTACATTAGGGGTTGCGACATATATATATATATATATATATATATATATATATATATATATATATATATATATATTTGACAAGAAGAAAAATGGATTTCATTAATAAAATACAGCCAAACGACACTTGCATATAATAACTAAGAAATCAATTTATTTTTTATTTTTTTTTGGGTGTTTAGAGAGCCACAAGGGCGGGGTCGGGAGGAAAGCTCTAACCACTTGAGCTATCCCTCACTCTCTAAGAAATCAAAAAATATCAACACAAGTACGCACTTTAAAACTAAATACATCATAGATTTGATTGACAATCGCCTTTTTAAAAATTTCATCTTAAGTAATACAATCTCTAAGTTCGCACTTATTCGGCTTGTAGAGATTATGAAACCCTAGATCTTCAACTCTCACCGTAGAAACATTTTAAATAAAAAAAAATAAAAAAAAATAAAAAAAAATAAAACTCAAGAGAGAAAATCATCATCTCAAGGATGAGATCTATTTATTGAAAGCAGTTTAAAGGTTTTTAGGGTTTACCACCGGTAAGAACACCATTGGAGGCCCTACAAAGATTCACAACTGATACAAAGAGGAAAAGAGATGGTAGAGATGGAAAGAAAAGGGAGAGGAGAGAAGAAAAACCTTATAAAAATTGAAAAACATAGCAATGGAGGCTAGGAAAAACCCTCCTAAGGGAAAACCCTAGAGGGAACAAAAAAAACAAAAAAACAAAAAAAAAACTCTCGGGGGTTGCGACATAATTAATTCCTGACAGTAATAACATAACACATTCCCAAAGAAAATAAGTAAGCAAATCATTTCAGAACATGTCTGAGAAGATGTATCCTGGGACTCACAAACGAATACCTGCTTATTTTCAGCCCCTCTTTTAAATTGGGATGATGACAGGAGAATTGCATTAAGCCCGAGTTAGCAAGCCTATCACTAATACTATTCCTAGAAGAAAACAAAGGAATCTGCAATAGTTGATCATGGGATGTGCAATCCTCCTTCATCCTACATGAAGAACTAGTTAGCAGAAGTTTAAATTAGGCAGAAAGAATAATCATTCATATTAATTCATGGCATTCATCCAACAGTTTCCTTCAAAACAAAAAACCTAATATTCAGATAGTAAACAGGTTGGCTTAATCCAGAAAATATGTATGGATACCCTCAAATCCATTCAAAATTACAATTCTCTTCACTAACTAATCTCAAACATCACAATAAATTTCTTAGGGTGCATCCTAATAACCAAATTTCCACTTGTCTCGTAACTTAATTTAGCTGCATATTGAATTTGAGAGCCTTTATAAACCCATATTAGAAATCTAAACTAATCTGAAATTATTAATCTTTACCTAAACTTGTTTTCTTCCAAAAACAAGCAGAAATAAGGTAAACTTATAAAGAACTTAACAGAAGGGTTTCAATATAAATTAAAGAAATTTCTCCCTCCATTCTAGATTAAATTTTACACTTCCCTTTTTCATTTGTCTCAAATTAAATTTTACACTTACTTTTAGGAAAGTTCCCACTATTATTTTATTACATCCCTCTTTCCACAACTTATAAGTTAGGGCTTATTCTCTCTCAAATTTAATACAAAATTCCCTAACATTTTCTATCTCATCTATTTTTTTACTCCCTTTATCCCTAAAAGAACGTCCCTTTTGGCCTAATTTTAGTCCCAAAATGTTCATCCCATTTGCATTAAAATACCCCCCATTTTGCAATAATATTTGTGTAAAATTAGATTTCCAATGTAAATTTTGCTTTTTTTCATTAACTTTTAGTACTTTTTCTCTCTACTTTTTTACAAACCCTATGTAAATTTACCTTTTCAATGTACTTTTAT